GCTTATGCTATCATTTGTTGAAAATTTACCAACCTTTTTCCCTTGTCAGCTTCCATCAAATTCTAATTTGGTATATATTTCACCTCCATATTATCCAAGTTTTCAAAGAGTCATGTTATCATTACGGCTTTTCCTTCACTTCAAAATACAACCAATTAAAAAAACGTTCTGCTACTCAGAAAAAGGCAGGATATAGACTAAGTTTTCACTAAAATTACATCCCATGAAAGAAATAGGCCAAATAGTATTTTATCAGGCTTCGCAACCTGCTTGCCAGAAGCACGATGTTTAACATACTCTCACGTACCAAAAGTACGTGAAGATGGAAAACTCCAAACTTGCTGTTCTTCTTCTCGTAAGACTTGACAGACATATAACAAAATATCGAGAACCAAATACATAAAGGGCTTCCAAAGGTTGATGTTTTATTCCTAGGAAACTTGTAGGGATTCAAATATTTCAAACTATATGGTTCAAAAATTGAGATGGCTTCTATCCCTTAAACAGAACTTGCATAGACACCAGTGCTTGTGATCTCTGAGGCTTAGGAGTTAGATGTTTTCACTTCTATTTTTAATAGCTAAATTGTCAAAGGATTGACAGAACTACACATCAGTAAGTCTAACTTTCACAGAGATGGATATATCCATTGTATGCGGCTAAATAACTGCACTTCCACTGTTTCCCAAGATCTGTGCATTTGAGTGAGCAGACTGAAGAACTGCAAACTAAGCTTTTCATTTGCCTGCACATTGTTATATATGATGTTATAAATCAGTTGCATAGGACAAAGTGGAGTTAAATGCCTTCATTGCTTTCCTGAAAAAAAAGTCTGATTTGGACTGTTATATTTTAAAAGCTAAAAATACTATGTATTTTTTACAGTAGCAGAGCTGAATTTAATTAAGAAAACAATATTCAAAACCAGTCTCAACATATTACATTATACAGCAGTGCAAATCAGAAAAATCTGCAAAATTTCAACTTCTCTAATACTCTGAAATAGAATAGTTTTCTTAATGCTAAAAAGAAACATCAGCGAACCTTTAATTTAGCTGCTGCCCAAAGTCGTATCAGTAGAACAGTGAAAATCAACAACATGCCTACAAGTACACATGCACACAGACAAAGTAAATACCTTCAACAGGATAAATATTTTAAGAATTTAAGAAGTAGTATCTTCCATTCACGCCACCCTAAAAACGTACTCTATTTTCTTGCCAGAATAGCTAATGCATCTTACAGTTCTACATACAATATACACATTCAAATATATGATGAATTGGAGGAGAGAAGGGGGATTCGACGGTTATCTGCAATTGTGCAAGCAAGTATTTTTTTCTTTCTTTTTTAAAGGGAGTTTGGTTACAGTTTGGAGCTAGTTAGAAAACAATTTATATATACATATTATACATATATATAAATATCTCTTTTCTTTCTTGCTTATAGGTTTACTCATGGTGCTAGTCACAATTCATGTTTGTGTGAATAACAGAAAATGGCTGTCAAAAGCATTCCTCACATGAACATTCATTCATAAATCAAGTTCTTGTCCCCTTTAAGGTGATAGTAAGCCTCCTATTTTTTCCCCCCACTTTGGCTTTTTATCCACCTAGTCTTACTTAAGAACACACACAGGAGAAATATAAATATATTTTCAGATAGCTTTCTCTTTTTTGTATATGCTTCCCATCTAGCGTACACAAAAAATCAAAAGGAATGTGATCATGAACTTGTTACTTCACTCATTAGGAATTTTGCTTGGAAGGGTTCAGATAGAAAGCACTTACTCTGTAACAAGCATTAGAGAACTGAATATAGCACTGCAAGAGCTCAACAAATGTCCCTTTACAAAGAAAGGCTACATTTGCCTACATTTTGTTCCATTTGCTAATGTGCCAGTTCATTGTTTTTTTCCATGAATTATTAATGAATCATTGTGAACAGGCAGGAGAAAAAGGAAATAAAACATGTAAAATTAAGCCTTTAGATTTCCCCCCCCCAGGTGTAACAAGAATTCAGCTAGAACTTAAGACAGCGCATAAGGACATGGGGATGGTAGCCAAAATAGTCTGTATTTACTTGTTTGTGTTTCCCAGATAGGCTTGTAAACAACTTCTAGTTTACAAATCTTGTAGCTTGCAGACCTGCTAGGTCATCTGATGAAAAAGAAGGAACAAATGAACCCTAAGACGTATTACCTGTCCATTTTATGTTCCTGTCCACGAACCGATTGAAAAAAGGTTCCTGGCATCATGGCACCCAATGGGCAGAAGACACAGTTATGCAGAGCAGCAAAATATTGTGAAAATAAGCTGTACAAGTAATATCTGCCAAAGGCTGACACGTTCTAGTTTCCGCAGAGTTAGCAAAAAACAGGACACCGTCCAATTCTGTTTAGCAGACAATTCTCAGAAAAGTGATTTTGTAAAGAAGTGAAAACCGGGGAAGGGATGTCCTTGAAGAACTCTTGCACATATATTTATATACATGTGTGCGTTGTGTATTTGTACAAGTCAAAGTGTCATCTCATCAGCTTTAAAAAAAAAAAAAAAAAGGGAGCAATTCTACAATATTGCCCACAGTACTGTTTTATTACCATTGAAGCCTGTCATACTTCAGACTAAAGTCTCTGTAAAATATACAAAGATTTTTGCCATTTTAATTTTGATATTTGGGCAGAAGTCTTTTAATATTATTCTTATGTCTCAATGAACAACATGATTAATCAAGTCATCTGCTCAGAAATAATTTATTTTTATGCACTTTTTAACAGAGGGGTTCCAGGAGAACATCAGCTGAACTTCCAGATACATAATTTTGTACCTTAGAAGGGGGAAACACAGAAAAATAAATGTGTATATGATATGGCTTCCCTCTCTAATTGCTCAGAGGCCAAGTTTGAGCATTCTGAAATTTGTGGTCCGGTGTCAATAGTTCAAAATCTGCATCAGAATTTGTGGCCCATCTCTAGAATTACATACTTTAAAACAACTTTTTCCTCATACCTGACATATTCACTTCAGTACACAAAAGATCAAAGGGAAAGGCTTTGCAAGTTCATCAGTCCCAACCTTGGTAGCATCTTTCAATGGACCATTTGAAGAACAAGCACAAAATGCATTACAGTGACGTGGAATGAACTCACTGTAAGGTGGTATGCAGCTCACTGAATCTCTGTCCACTCTGAGCTTGTTTTATGAAAAAATAAAAGTTCACTTCACTCTAAGAAGGCTTGAAAACACTCCAGGCAGCAGCAGATCTTCGCTTCTGTTCATAGCTCTGAGCTGAAAAACCCATCTGTTTGGTCTCATCTTTGAACTAAATTCATGGTCATCTTACATTTTTTGTTACTGTGTATTTTGCAACAATCACGTAGCAACAATTCCACAAGTTTTGTGCTACATTTCTTTTATTCTACCTGTTCTCTTAGGCTTAAATACTACTTCGAACTGTTACGGATATCCGATCAAAAATACTTCCCCTCAAATCCACAGGCAACCATCTCCAAATCAATGGCAATAGTAGCCTGTTCAAAATTTGACCCCATATATTCTTTGTGAGTGTGAATACCCCCAAGAGCTTTGCACCAGAGACCCCTACAGGGCTAGCTTTACCCATCTGCAAACCGTATTACATATTTTCAATAAAAGTTTTCTGCTAAAAGTGTACAAATAGGAGCCTGAACTACTGATATCTTGTGACAGATTAAAAGGAGAAAATGCAAAAAGATTTTTTGCGGACGCATTTTGACCTAAAGTAATTTCCAGACGTTTATAGCCTATACGCATCTATCAATACAGAGCAATGTACAAAATATAAGTACCAGAAGTATCATAATTAAGTATCAGAAAGGGGGAGAGGCCCCAGAGGCTGAATGGAGGATGAACAGAAGGCATGCCTTCCACAGAGCATACGACTCTGCTTAAAATCCCCCTGAAGCACAACCTCCACAAATTACCAGAACTAGTCCCACAGCGTTCGCAAGTGGCTGTGAAACCTTTCTCTAATCTCCAGAAAAACGTTCAAATAAAAAGTCTGTGGTAGTAACCAAGGCTCTTCAGTGTAAGTAAGGGTGGTATGTTAAGTACATTCAGGACGTACGTTGTGGGGGAAAATCTTCCAGTGAATTTTGCTTTAATACATGCTCAAATGTGGCCTACTAATATTGGCTGACTTCTCCAAACTCAGGCTGAGGCCTTCTCTGGATGTAAATTCAATTTTCTTGCTCTTTTGACCTACAAACCTACTAAGAAGCACATTCCTCTCTCCCGAAATTAATGTGACTTTTGAAGATTCGTGCATGCCAAAGCTGCTTCATTTTCTGCCCAAGTGGGGCCAGTGTATACACCACCACAAGTAAATATGTAAAGGTCAAAATGACTTCATTTTATGCTGCATCTAGCAGAGACAAGCATGAAGGCAGAGACACAAAAGGAAGGACCCTATCTTTTTTCTCATCACCTATACCTCCCTATTTCCAGCCTGCCTGGTATGCAGTTTACTGCAAACCAACTGCTCAACATGCCGTTACGAGCAGCGTGGCTGTAATTTTACCTAACTAAATTAAAAGCCTCTCTTGTGCAGATTACTACAAGTGACTAAATTTTCATTATTGTATCAAATTTCCCCTTTTAAATCACAAGGAAAGCCGCCCAGGTGAGGGCCGAGAGCCTTATTTAATTACAAGTTGCTGTTCAGCTGCGGCAGTCACTCCAGCAGAAGAGGAGGCCGTACCAACAGCAATGGCTGTCCTTGCCTCCTCCTCCCAGCCCTCCGGATGGTCTCTTCATAGCAGGGCAGTTCAACACAGCGAGTCCTGCCGCCCCATTCACAGGCGGCCGTGACTCCAGCCATGATTAGGAAGACAGACGTGGCTGAAGTCCTCATGCAGATACCCTCCTGCTACCAAAATGGTGGTGAATCCACCACAGAAACAAAGCGCTCTTTCCTCAAAAGAGCTCTAAAACAGCTCCTTGTAAAATAAAAGCCTGCCTTACCTGTAACGGGGAGCTGTGCCTGCAGGATGGCAAAGATCACAATCCTCCTCCACTTCATCTTGCTCACCCGGGTGGTGCTGGGGAGCGGGAGGCCGCAGGTGTGGGGCGAGGAGGAGGAGAAGAAGAGGCACCTCCACGGGCTTTGCTCGTCTGCGGGCCCCCGCAGGAAGCTCACCTCCTATGAGGGCTTTCGGAGTCCACCTGCCGGCAGCGGCGCCCAAGCACGCGCCTTCCTCTGCCTCGCAGCCTGAGGTCTGGGGTTTACATTCTTGGTATTGATGTTTGGGGTTTCCTTTTGTATTTTTTTTTCTTTCTTTCTCACTTTTGCAAGATGGTTTTTGGTGGGGTTTTTTTCCAGTTTCTCTGATGGTTCCTAGGATGTCCCAGTCAGCAGCTGCTGATCTCTATGAGGGGCCTAGAGAGGATATGTGGTATCAAATTCAGCCTGACTTCAAAAGGGACACTATATAACTATGTCCAGTGTGCAGTATGGCACAAATAGAAGTTTAAAATTGTAAGTTATAGTCACTCCTGAACAAGTAGCTGGCTAAACTGGTAAAGATGTAAAGTTCATTTCTAAATCGAATTGAAATATGGCCTTACCATGAGAAACTGGAAGTGGCTGCACTCTCAGGGCTACGGGGTGGCCGGCATCAGGGAGAGCTGGGCTCTGCCCGTCCTCGCAGACAGCGGCCACAGGACATAAAACACCAGCACAGTCAGTGCTGCCCGGCTCATTTCAGTTGTACCTGTCTATGAAACGGAGATTCCTTTTGATGTGAACACATCGCATCTTCGTGTTTCGAAAGAGCGTCAGCATGTGCAGAGCTCTGGAGCCATTTTGTCCTCTGAGCCACCGCAGCCCATAGGGTGGAGAGCCTGTGTCATCTCCGCGGGAGAGCACAGCGTGCATCTCCTCCTCGCTTGGCTTGAAACGAAAAGCTTGGCAGCCTCTAGCTACACGTGCCACTCCTAGCTACCGAGTGGGCCATGAGATCAACCTTCTTGCTGCTTGAAGCTGTCCTCTAGCGACAGATCCCGAGGCAGACGGGCGCGCCCCAGGAGCGGCATGAGTGGTTTGAAGGTGACTGCATTCTGGGAGCTCACAGGGCTTTCCAGCCCCATGTTGTGGGCTGGTCCGTTAACACGGTCCTCGCAGCGACGCAAAACGGAGCAGGTCTGCCTGGCAGCCATGCTGGCGAAGCCTGGTTTCCCGCAGGGCCACGTTCTCCACCCAGCACGATGACCGCGGTGCCTCCCACGCTGCCCTAAGCCCCTGCCACCCCCGGGCTCTCCCGTGCCTGCCTCCGTGGGGCCCGGCAGCTGGGCACGCAGCCCCAGGTAGCACATGTACGTGTGACTGACTAACCCAGCAGCCCAGTGTGAAAGCGAAAATGCCCTAGTTTTTCTGCTGCTCTGAGGGGACTAATAAGATCGCTGCAGCTAGCTACACAAAACCACGAGCAGAACCCGTTGCGTTGGAGTCTCCTTTGTTTAGCTGGATTGATGTTGACCCCCCGGGTGAAAAGCGGTTGGGGTGGTGGTGAGCGGCAGGGTGAGCCGGGAGAATCACAACGCCTGTTTCCTTGCGAAGCCAAGCTAGCGATCAAATTGGGCGGTATTAAAGCAGCACTCTAGGCAGCGGTGGATAACCACACAGGCAACAGAAAAAGCACGCTTTAGCAGTAACCCAGCAAATGTCACTCTGGAGAACGCTTTGCACTACGAGCTGGAAAAACACAAACTGATTTGTGTTAACAATATTAAATCATTTCATTATGCTTTTACCTGAGGACCTTGCCATGCTTTTCAAATTAGCCTTACTAAAGCCAGGGCAGTTAAGCTTTTACAGATAAAGAAATTAAGTGTTAAGGGAGACAGGGGAAAGAAGGAAGACAGGGAAAACAAGGGACTAGAACTCAAAGAGAATCAGGGACACCTGGGAGTTGTTTGGTTTTCTTTTTTTTTGTGGTGTTTTCTTTATAACAAAACAAAAAAAAAAAGAAAAAAAAAAATCAAACCAACCACCACGGAATTTTTAAATGCATAGGGAAAAAAGCCAGGGGAGAGCTAAGCTGTGGTTAGGGGTACTTCCTCCTCAACATTTCTCATTGCATTATTATTAAGAAGCAGCAGCAGCTAATAAAAGGATTCATTTAGGGCAAGAGAGGGGAGAAGAAACCCAGCATAATGAGATGAAATTAAGAAAGGTGAAATCTGGAGTTTCAGAAAAGCCTTCCTGAGAAGGAGATATTAGACAGAAGTAATTTCTCCAGCAAAGTGTTAGGGCATTTATATGAAACCCATACCGCTCGACGCAGTGATGCCAACTCTCACTTTGTAAGAAACCTCCCATTATTGTGCTCCTTTCAAATGTGAACAAATAAAAATTTTCCCTTTTATTAACAGAAAGAAAAAGTACATTTCAGACAACTGTGAATTAGAAAAGCTTGAAAACATGACTTAGATGCACCCTAAAGCCTGAAACTCAGCCTCCTCCCCCCGCTCCCCATCAAAATACAACTGGTCAACAGAAGATTGCTGAGTGTTTACAATAGCAATACTACTAATACATTTCAGGATCAGAGCTTAGGGCTGGGAGGAAGGACAAGTATCTCAATGAATAATTGCCTTTTTCTTTCCATTTCTAATTCTTAGAAAAGAAAGAGGAATGTGCGTCCCCAGCAGGTACAGGAACAAGATTGGTGGTAACTATTTCCCGATAGTATGAAGACAACTGGCAGGGTGAGAGTTATTGTGCGTATAAGACATAAGGATTTATAGTCTTTTGAAAGCAAAGTAAATTGAAGTTCTTGGAAGAAGGAGACCAAGAAATTTGTCACCTTGCTGTCTGCAGTAATGAAGGCTAATACACTGATAAACAGTATTATGCTTTTATTTAATAATTATTATATATTGTACCAGCAGATACCAAAATTATTAGTATTACTAGTATCAAAACCTAGTGCTGCACGCCATTCTGTGATACTTAGACTTTACTGCTGAGCCTCTGCTCTCCCCCGGCCTTGGGGAGGGTTTTCTTTGTGGCTCTTCTACCCCAAAAGCTGCAAGGGAAGGCTGGAGATGGGCTCTGACTCGCCGCCAGGCAGAAGGCAAAGCACTGCCCATGAGAGCCACCATGCATTGAAGCTGAAAGAGGTGTCATTAGTCCCAGAAATGGCTGTGCTCGGGTTCACGGTCTATATTCCAACACAAGCTGGATAAAGCCCTTTCTGTCCACTTCCCCATGTAACAGAAGATTGGCTGAAATAAGGAATTAGTGAAGGGAAAGTTTTTTTAGACCCCTGTTCCCACTGCAGGCTGCCTAAATCTCACTGACACCTTATCAAAAAGCTAAAATAATATCATATTAGTTACTGATATTTTTGGGTAACTATTTTCAAAGGAGCAAATGGCACTGCTCATCACTATTCCGCTGACCTGTCTCCTCCTGTTATTGATCATAGCTTCCCCCTCCAGCAGAAAGCCAGCAAATTATCACTTTATTCAAAGTGTTGAGGCCAAAGGTAAGGAAAAGGAATGAAGAGCTGTATAAGAAAGGGAGATTAATGGCAACAGTAGGCACACTGAGAGAACAGCAGTTGGGCCAGCGTGTTTTGATGTCTAGATAGGGAAAGGTCAGAGAAACAGAGTATATGGACTTCATTTAGAAGTGTGGGTAGAGTCAGAAAAAGCCTTTGCATGACAGTGCCCCTAGAAATTCTCTCCTCCCCATCCCTCAGCTTTTGAAATAAGGCAAGTTTATCATTATAATCTAAATACAATGAAAGTATACAAAAGAGCAATCATGCTTGTATTATGAGTTATTCTCACAACAAAAAGCACAGAAGATGCAAATCACATGAAGTCAAGGACTACAGAAAAAGAGAAAGGGGAAGCGGTCTCTTCTCTAGGAAAAAGCTTTTCTGTGCTCATACAGCTTGCAATTAGCGTCGTCTTCTTTTCAGCCTATTTGGTCTTTGCATCTCTAGGAACTACATAGCACAGTAAAAACTTCGGCACCTCCTGCCCACATTGTGCATTACGCAATCTCATACGTGCATTTTTACCAACAGTTTAAGCCATACTGATGTTTCACTTTACTCACTTCAGTCAGACCGTAAGAACTTTGTTAACACTGGACTAGAAATGAATGCCAACAGTAGTTCAGCTGAATCAGCAGCTATTTTTCTCAATACAGACAAGGCCACAGTGGAGACATAAAACCCTCCCTGCTGGGTTAAGAAAAGCTCTCAGCTAAACTTGACTCTTTATCTAAACATCCGGGTGGAGGAAAGTGCATTTCAAGAATTACCTGCACTGGGAAGACTGCAAGATTTGATCTATGGTTCCTGAAACAGAACAGGTCAGGGAATTGAAGTGGTCCCCAAGTACAACTCAGCTGTGTTTAATGCTGGTTAAGGTGCAGCTCATTATCTGTAAGGATAACATCTTTCAGAAAATAGACAAGGTATGCATTCAATTGGTTCTGTGCATCAATATGCCATTCTTTCTCTGGACACAAGAAATCCTGGAACAGCTCTAATGCAAGGGGCTGATTCATCCCCTGAAGCATCCCCTTTTCACGCTTACTGGTTATGCTTTGACTGTACTATAAAAAAAAGCAGCAGGGTTTGCAGTTTTAACAGGAAATAAATGAAAACTGAAAAACAAACCCACACCACAGTCAAGCTGCGGATTAAAAAAATAACTACACACTGCCCTCTGGCTCATGTATTGCTACCACAGAGAGCTTGCCTGTAATCATCACCGCAGACTGCTGGGACTGAGAACAGGTCAGCCATCAGAAGTTCTCCTAAGCCTATTTTATACAGTTAGTACTTGCAGGCAAAATTAATACCTACATCACCTGATAGAGGAGCTGGCCAACTTTAGAGACGGGAGAATCCAGACAGACAGCAGAGTCTTGCCCCCGACCCAGCAGGGATTGACGGCTGTAGTACCAGAACTAACTCAAAAAGTATCAAAACAATTTTTGGAAACGTTCACACACAGATCATGGGTGTTAAGCAACAATTTTCTCTGGTGAGCAAGCTG